TCTATAAACTGCAGTGTTAGATCTTCATTTCTGTTCCTGTTATTAACCAGGTCAGTCTGGTCTGTGGTTTGCAGCCTAAGAACAGGCAGAGTTTCCTTCGTAAAAACAGAAAAACTGTCTTCTTTTCTGAGTCGACCCTAAAGGGGAAAGAGTGTGTAATTAGAACAACTGCAGTAAGACAGGGTTGCATTCCTCAGGGTGAGACGATATTTAACTGCAGACCATTACATTGTCTTGGGACACAGTGTTGATGTTTCTTAAAGAAGCAAACTAACTGCAGAAGGAAAGTAATTTAACTGGATGTCACAGCAGCAGAGACAATCACATCAGTGTTTGTCTCATCTGTTTTAGAGGAATCGCTGTACTAACAATAACCCCCATCACAGCTTTGTGTAAGAGGATCTCTGCTCTCTCTGAACGGCATGAAATGAGGGCAGAGAATTCAAAATACAGAAAATGTGTTTGAAGCACGATACATGATGTGACGGTCGAGGCAAATTTTACCACAATGTGGTGTTTGACTTCCTGTTTCTTTATGTCACCACAATTTTCTCATAGAGCCTTCAATATATAAAACACTGTGTGTAATACATGAAAGAATCCGCTGTGCTCCACAGAGGTTCGCCGTTCATTGTTTTATATATTGTGGTTTAATAATGACCACCACAAGGCGATAAAACTTGTTGGCTCTGATTTCGAACTCTTCAACCACAGCGAGATAAAGCGTTAATAAAACATTTATCAGCTACAGCTCATCTTACAAACAGGAAACACAGACTTGATTTTCATCACATTGTGGCATTCATTAGAAAAGAAAAACAGCATTTACCCAAATCTTCTTCTTCATTTTACCACTCACTTTAAAATCACTAAAATGATCTCCTGACACCCCTGGTGCCACCCTCCACCATTTAAAAATGGTGCAGCTCATAGCGCAGAGCGGCTTTACGGATGCCTGTGATTGTGCCAGAGCACATTAGGAATCAACACCATGGACATTTCAGATTTAAACACAGTTGGTTGATTGTTCCACTCTGAAAATTGAATTAAGGTGAGTGTTATTAGCTCTCTGGGGTTGACGGACGTCGCACCTCCAAATCACATGACCGATATAAGCTGACATAGCCACAGGCTGCTTTCTGAAGCTTATATTGAAAAAGGGTTCATTACTCCAAGGTTTTCAACACAGTGCTCTTTGGTGACATCTGGTGGCCAAAAATATGAAGCGCATAGCAAATTAAAATGAACTGCTTCATTGTGACTGTCCATTCTACCTGAGCTGATATCGGAATATCGCTGTGGTGCTTTGAACATGTATTTTTGGGGTGTAAAAAAATAACGTTATGTCTATATGTTTAATAAATCATTTTAATGAATAAACCTGTGACATGTTCTCCATTTGTTTGTGACTTCTTGACATTTGTAGACATGATAGATAAAAATACATCATATATAATAATGTGCAACCACAGGTGGGAAGTAACAAAGCACAAATACTTTGTTACTGTACTAAAGTACAGTTTTCAGTTATTTTTATTACTTTGACTCCCTACATTTTCAAAACAGGTTTTTCACTTTTGGTTTAACACATTTGGGTCAAAGTATTATTTTGTTACTGCCAGCTTTCAAACATCAAATCAATTCGAGCCTGAACAGAACCACATGAAAGGCAATCTTGTTCGATGTTGCATAAAAAGAAATGACGTGTTCAAAGTCAGGGGTTAAAAGTAGGTATTTTGTTGTTTTTGTTGTTGTTGTATTGTTCTGTTTTTGTTTTGGTCTCAACAATGGAACGACTGCAGATGTCCGTGGTTGCAGTTAAGGTATTTGAGCATCTGACTAGCGTTACAAAAGAGGAGCAAGCATAAAGTGAGTGACTTGTTTTTTAAGTGTCAGGTAATTTCAAATGCAGCGTTTCAGTCAGCTCAACAAACATCAGCAAACACACAAACTGTTTGTGGAGTTTGTCTCACAGTGTGTTGCTAGCTAAAGGTCCAGCTGCTGTATTTCACATGTAGAAAAACTAAAGCTAACTTCACTCAGAGATGAAGAAAGATAAGAAAGACAGGAGAGGAAGAAGAGAACTTAGTTTTAAAGGGAAGGACTCCTCATATAAAGCTTACGTGTAAGTCCTCATGTTTTTAAATGTTGGGTCTGTACATGTGACATTATGTTTTTTCAGTATATATATCATGGTGCAAAACAAACTGAGGTAGTATAACTGTGTTATTTAAAGGCTGCATGAAAATCCTCAGTATGTTAGTGCAGGATCTGTACTGTGATGGACTTAGAGAACAGTGTTTGACTGGTGCACAGTGGCTGTGGTTTCATGGTCAGAGTAAGGTTGTATCAAGTTTAGCAGAGATGAATTGAAGTTAAGCTCATGATGCTTAGATTCATCCACTGAATTCCACTTTCATACAAACTTTATACCATCTAAAAAAAATACAGCATAAACAGTGTAGAGGATGCAAATCAGGCAGAACAACTCTGAAACATCTGCTCACATCCACAAAGAGCAGCCGGTCGGCTGACCACAGCCTGTGCACTAAGAAAATCCGCTGGAGCTTTCAGTAGAAATGATTGTGAGTTATGATTCTTTTCCTCTCACTGAACCATTACAACCAATGTTAGGGTTCCCCACCTGCTGAATCCACTTTAACCCCTGACTACATGTAACTGCCCCCAAAGGTTATTTTTTATGTTTGGTGTAGAATAAAGAGCCAAGCTTCAGCTGATGTTTAACCAGTAATTTAATCTCCTCTTCACCAGAAAACACAGAATAATGTGTGAGCAAAATTAAATTACAACCCAAATAAAAACGTACACACAAAGTAAAATACACAAACATGCTGCGTGTGCCTTTCTACCACACATTCAGGAGCAATTGCAGTCCCTGTTGTCCAGTTTTGCTCTTTATCCACAAGCTACAGCTGACAATAAAGCTAAAAATAAAACTGACTTTGACTTTGACTAGCTTGTTTTCTGGCTTGAGTCTTCACTCTCTGGCGACATGTGTGCCTTAATTAAACAACTGTCCAAACCATGCGCACCTGAAAGCGCAATACTCAGGTCCACCAGAAGGTGGCAACAATACAACATAGGAATGACATTAAATGGCCAGTTTTGAACAATATAATCACATCTTACTGGGACAGCTACACATTTTCCTGTTTAGAGGCAAAGTCACCCTCTACAATGAAGGCAACAGAAAATGGATATAATGGATATATATTTTCCTTCTTTTTCTTCAGATCCAAGCTGAGTATAATTAGAATTTTAAAAAGTTAGACTAAAGTTGTCGGGGGCTTGGTCTGTGATGCAGCATTTTGAGTTTACTTTGTACTTTTGGATTCCGTATGTTTTATTGGAAATATGTTAAGTTCTTGTGTTGTTATTATGAGCTACGATTTGGTGAAGTTTTATTCTAGTTTTTGTTTCATCTATGTCTCCTGATTTATGAGTCTTTTCCTGTCCTCCATGTAGTCTGTCTTGTCCATGTTCACTGTGTTTTGTTTTACTTCCACTTGTGGGGTCATGATTATTTGTGTCAGCTGTGTCTCCCCAGGTGTTTCTCTTCCCTCATTACCGGCCTGTGTATTTCACCTGGCCTTGTCTTTCTGTCCTTGTTTTCTGTTTGTTTGTTTGTTTGTTTGTTTGTTTTTGTATCAGCCATAATAAAGGCTTGCTTTTTGTTTGATCATCAGTTCATTTTTCCTGTGTCTGCTTTTGGGTCTGACCCACAAACACACCGGTGCTCACTGCCGTAACAAAAGTTTTTATTCCCATCTAGTGATATTATTTTATAATTATGTTATTATAGCACAAGGTTCAGTTTGCTTTGCACCAAAATGGAAATATCCTCCAAAGAGCTACTTTTTACTTTATTACTTTTGCTTTACATTTCAGAGCCTGTACTTCTTTTTTACTTTTACCTGACTAAAGAAGTTGAATCAGTACTTCAACTTATTTTTCACAGCAGTATTTGTACTTCTAAGTAAGTACAGATGTCTGTACTTTTGCCAATCTTGTGTGCAGCAAACTCTTATAATACACTTGGAGTATGCATGTGCTGTGAGGTCCTTGCTTCCACGTGGTTATGTAAATTGGGCAGTGTACAGGTACATTTACATATGTATATATATATATGTATACCGGTTTATGTCCGACAGCATTTTCATGGACCGGCCTTTAAGGTGTCGCGGATAAATACAACAAAATAAAACCAGTACCAAAACAAAGATTTATTCATAACACACAGGAAAAGACCCAGGGAAACCGAGTTAAGGATAAAAACAAGCATCAACTCTCACGGCGCAGTACCGCTCCATGACCCGGGGGTTGGGGGCTACTTGTCTATTTCTTTTGTATGTTTTTGACCTGGGGGTAGAATTGCTTATAAACGTGTAAAATAAAAATATAACATATATAAGGTTATTCTGTTTGGTCAGAGTTTTTTCAGAAACAACACAATATCAAAAATAAATTAAATTCAAATAATCTAAAAAGAATAAATAAAAAAATAAACACCTGGTAAATATTTCCTTTAAAAGCATTGCTGTGTTTAAGTTTGGATAGAGACTGGATGAACTTCTGAACATTAAAAGATTCAGTTTGTGACACAAAACTTAAAATAGAAGTCGGAAATAAATAGACATTTTATTTCTGCATCGTCTGATAAATGAAATACTAAAGATTATTCTGTTTGGTGTGATGAAAATGGAGGACAGCCAACATTAGTCAACTAGTCTAGTTATAAAATAGTCTAGTTTATATCCTATAATTATAGTTTAGTAAACCTCACGCAGTCGGTTTCTTTAGAGCGTGAATGATACTCTGAAAATCAAAAACATTTAAGTTATGTGAGGAAACAGGAAACTTAAATAAAGAAACATTATTGCAGTTTTAAAAAAAGTCTTTGTGTGGGTGTGTGTGAGTTCTGAAGGCGTGACCTCCTCATTAAGAGAAGTAAGAAGTTCCTGGGTTGCAGCGAGAAAGAAGAGAAGCAGCATTAAACCATCAGAGCTCTGAGATGAAACACACTTTGCTCTGCTTCATCTTCCTCAGTGAGTAAATTCTCTTCTTATTTCTGTCACTTTCTCTGTTCTAACTTTTATTTGCCTCCATTTTATTTTTAAATTTTAAACTTCCTTCTTCATTTCCTTGTTCTCCCTCACAGTTAGTGGTTGTTGTGGTTAAACATGCAGGTTATTAAAAGCATAAGAAAATCTGGGAAATATATCCAGTTTGAAATATATAAATCTGTGTGGAATTTAAATGTTTCCACAAACTTTTTTGTAATTTGCAAATTATTTTTAGTTTTAAACCAGTTTGATCCCCAGAAATCTTCTACTTTTTATTGGACACTGAATCTGTAATCAAATACTTTCCGTCTACTCTTCTATGAGAGACAAACTTATAATAGTAGAGCTGATGAAACAAACACTCTGTTTCATTTCTTCTCTTAATGAGCTGAAGAGCAACAAAGTCAGCGGTGACAAAGTGAGAACTGGATGTTTAGCAGCGCGACTAAAATGTTCATTTCACATACAAATATAGAATTAGCTGCTGCCGATGATGATGATGATGATGATGATGATGATGATGATGTCATCAAAGATACAAAAATGAATTTTGACTTTTATTTATCTTTTTCACAACCTTAAACTCTGAATCTTCCACATCAGATGTTTTGTGTTTGTGTATAAAACAGGAAGTTTGCTGTTTGCAAATAAAAACAGAAAAATGAAGTTAACTGAACTTCTGTCATCAGTTCAAATTAATAATCATCTGTCACATTTAATCTATAGTAAGATTGTAACTAATGATTGTTCATCCTTTCAGCAGCACTTCAGGATGGAAACACTGGTTTGGTCAAAGCACAAACTCTCCCTCACAGAGCAGAGGAAGGAGGAAACATCGCAGTTGCGTGCAACTTTTATTTCTCTGGAAGCAGGAAACTCTTCTGTAAGGAAAAATGTGAAGATGGAAACATTCTTGTTGAAACATCTGATGATGCAGCTCAGAACGGCAGATACAGCATTAAATGTGTAAAAACATCTACTCTGTCATATACTCTGTATGTGAGCATCACACAGCTGAAACAGTCTGACTCAGGACGGTACAGGTGCTCTTTGGACAAACACTGGTGGACAGTTGGAAACGATGATTTTGAGCTGATTGTCACAGAAGGTGAGTTTCTGCTAACAGTCGTGTTTGTCTTTGAAGGTGTGACAGAAGCTTCACGTCTCAAAAGCAGCTACTTTTCCTTCAAATCACCTACAGATGTTATATTTATCTGAAACATCAAGTTTCATCAGTTCTGCTGTCAAACAGCCCATAACCACGTCAGTCACATGCAGATATATAAACTGCTTCAAGTGGTCTTATTATGACTCTGATGCTTTCATTGTTCACAGCTTCAACCACTTCAACACCAAACGGGACTCTGAGACCTTTTTCAGCTTCAGTGTTTCTCTCATCAGCCTCCACACCACCAACAGCACAGAGTTTAAGCTCAACTTCAGGAAGCTCCACACCTTCATCAGCCTCCACGCCACAAAAAATGGAAACAACACAGAGTTTAAGCTCCACATCTTCATCAGCCTTCACTGAAACCAAACATGCAAGATCAGGTATATTGGGTGGCTGTCGCTTAGCAGGTAGAGCAAGTCATCTTCTAATTGGAAGGCCATTCGTCTGATCCCATATTCCAGTGTGTTTATCAGAGTGTAACTGTTGGATAGAAAGCACAAGGTGTAGGAAAAAAGTGTTTGTCTAAAAGGATGAATAAGGCAGGTCGTACGAGTGCTCGAGTAGAAAAGGGCTTTGGGTTCATTCATGTGTTGTTATCAGAGAACTACACAAGAATGACACATTAAAAGCTGTGGAAGGAGCGCTCTGATATTTTAGTGAATAAATTAGAAGCAATAAATTGTTCTGTCATTCTTGATAAACAGTTTGTCAGATAGTGTTTGATGAACTGTTTTCAGTCCAAAGATACGTTACTCTGTATGTGCACAACTTTACTGCTAGATGAACAGACCTGGAGGCCACATGTTTACACTGTGAGTAAAAGAAATCTTCTCTGTTAAACTCCTGCAGATGTGCTGATTTATGTGGGTCTGATTCTGCTCATTATGATCGTCGTCTTATCAGCAGCTCTGCTGATTTGCTGCATGAAGAGGAGGACCACTAAACCCAGAGGTGAGGCTAGGAAAACAGAAAAGGCTAAACATGCTCAGCTCAGAATGTCCCAGTTTGCATGAATTAAGTCAGGTGTGACGTTTCTGTCACGCTGTTTTCACTTTTGAAGTTCAGTCTGTTTGTAAAAAGAGCACCGGATGTTCATTTATGACTCACAACAGAAACTAATTGTAGCAGATTTGATTGATATGATTTTGATTCTTTATCAGTCATGTGTCTTATCTAACTGTAGTTCATATGTAGTTCCTCATATTGTTCCTGTGTTTAGTTCCTCGGGTTCTTCTTCCTGTTATGTGTCTTAAAGACAGACGTTTATTTTCTGAGCTGCATGTTTTTCAGGACCTCCTGTGGAAACAGAGTATGCTGACACGCAGGTGGGTTTTAGGACCTGTGACACACATCAGCTTCATTATTGTTTGCTTTGTATCTGTCAGCTGGTTTGTTCTCCTGCTGCAGGCCGACAGGTTGTATGAAGATATTGGAAAGTGTGACATACCGAGCAGGTCACCTCCTGTAGAAGTGTCTTCAGTTTATGCCACCGCCAAAGACCCCAGTTCAGATGGAGTTGAAAATATAGACCTCTACAGCCTCGTCACCTCTCCTCAGAACAACGTGAGTACAACTGTGGTCTGATTCTAAGCTGAGGTCATAAACCAGGTAACTGTTTGTGTAGTGAAGTAATTCATCTGTTCTCAGACACAAAGAGCCATGTTCCACTGAAGACTGAAGAAATAAAAGTTCTTCCTCTATGTTTGGAGCAGATAAAATCTTTTAAATTGAGAAAAAGATTCAAAAGAATCCTTTCTATTCTGAAATGTGTATTTTTGAATAAATATCAGCTTCATACTCAGTGGGATTTAAAAAAAAACACCTTTCTGGTGGAAAACAAGTCTATCAAACGTTAAGGTTAATTAATCTGTATTTAACACAACTGTAAAACACTAAAGAAAAAAAAAGCAGTAAATCCTTCGTTTGTGAACGTTGTCATGTTCAGATTTTGTTACAAAGGTATTTTGAAAGGTGACTTCAGAGGCTTTATGATGATTATGACAAAAATGTATTTTTGATTTTTGTTTTTTTCAGATGTGGGTTTTTCAATTTAAATATTCAACATTATTTAATTTTAACAGTCTTATGTCTAATGTTTGATCTCACCTCTTTATCTCATTAAGGCAGATAACCTCTGCTACGCTGAAGTGCATCTTCCCCACATTCCTGCCACCAACAGCGCCCCCTGTGGTGAAGCAACTGATGTTGTCTACTCAATGCCTCAGGTGGACCTGAGTACTGCCATCCACACCAAAGATGCTTCACCTCCTGTGTACTCTGTTTCCTCACTATGAATATATTAGTACTATTTTTAAACCTGTCCTGTCCAGCAGCTGTAACAAGCGTAATGGTCTGAATGCTTTGTTGTGCCAAACATATTTGCTTTCCCAAGAGGGGCACTGTAGACCCTCTGTAGGCTCCTCTTTTAATGTTTTTGTTTTATCTATTTATTTAATTTTATTATTCATATTATTCTGTGTGTGGATATTATGTTGGAGCGGACAGGGTGTGAAGGTTGGATTGGCAAAAGATAGGTGAAGAAATTTAGAGGAATAGAAGAAGAAAAATGAGAGAAAAACAAGAGAAAAATATGGGGGTGGGGGAAATTTTGAGGATGAAACAAACAGACATGCTGGGTCTCCAACTGCTACAGCTGTGACAAAGTATACAAACAATAGGCAACACCTGAAAGACAAAGCACATCGTGTGTGTGTGAGAGAGAGAGAGAGAGAGAGAAGATGGGAGTGTGCATGATTGTTTGTCATGAAACGTACTTAAAAATACTTGAAAAATGAGGGTGAAGGCCGGGAAAGACCCAGGAGACCCCAGCTATCTATAGCTCCCAAGAGATCTGAAGATCTGAATCCCAACAACCATGCATTGTATCCTAGCCGAGGGAAGACAGAGGCCCCGGACGGAGTTCCTATAGCCAGCAGGCAACTGACCCCGCTGGCCACCCCAGCACAAGCCAAAGGCGAGACTCAATAACTGCCCAACACCCAGCGGAGCCCCCACCGCATGACGAAGAGGCCCAAGCTAGCCCCGGACACACACAGCCATCCCCACACTCTGAAGTGTGGATGGACAGGTGCCTTCCCATAGCCAGCAGTGATCCCGGGACGCAGTCAACCAGTCCCCCGATCACCAGCCAGCCTCGGCATCAGGCAGGGTGTAGAAAATAGTTGAAACCTCAACTATCTCAGCGGGCAACAGCTCAGTATAAATGATACTAAAGTTAGTTTATCTTTATTTACTTTTGACATATTTATAGCTTAACTGCACAGTTATATGGCCTCAGGTTAAAGTTCATTACAGCTGCTTATAATTTAGCTCAACAGATACAAAAAATGTTGATATTATGGTTTTTATAGGATAGATTCATTGAAACCAGGAAACAGACTGCTATCTTTTAAGGACATGTGATATAAGGAAGACAAAAAGTGAAGAGATGCAGTAATCTACTCATTTTTAATGAAAATAAACATGAACATTGGCAGTTTTAACAGTGTATGGTTTTTATTTTTTTTATAAAATATAAATAAAAATATACAAATATTAAAATACACACATTTCCTTAACTTCTGCAGTGGACGTATTTCGACTCAGCTTCTTCTAACAAAGGATACTGAAAAAGAAAGCAACTGGAGTTCTTTTGAAGCTCAGCAGTGTTTTGAAGATGCTTCATTCAGGAGTCTTCTTCAGTTCTAAAAACCAAGAAGTGGAAAATCCCAGGTGTTTGAATCCTAGTGGTCATTGGCCCACTATTGATCATGTGCCTCATCACATGAGCCAAGCTGTGAAAAAACATTTAGGGTGAAGACACTGTGATATATCATATGACCCACTGAGGTCACCTGAAGCAAGGCATCTCAAAACTGCTTAGTAGGTGGTGTCATCAATCACCCTCTCTGTTCAATGATGGCCATTCACATGGCAGGCAGGACGAGGCAGGATCAGACGTAGCAGGACCAGGCGAGGCAGGACCAGACAGCGCACTAACCTCTGGCGGATACGGATCTGGACTAGATGGCAGCATGGCGGTTGCAAGTGGTTCAGCTGGTGGCAGCTGTGGATGGTTGAGCTGGTGGTTGAGCTAGCAGTTGAGTAGGCAGTGGCATGGACGCCATGCGTGGTGGAGGCACAGGTGACGGCGTGACAGCCGCAGACAGTTGTGCTGGCAGCTAGATGGACTCTCCTGAGCCACCAGCAAGAACAGGCAGCAGCATGGAAGCATTGGACAACTGGACGAACTCTCCAGATAGACTCCTCAGAGCCCCCAGCAGAAACAGAGGGTGGCGTGGAAGCCGTGGATGGCTGGAGTGGCTCTCCTGAGCCCCCAGCAGGAACAGAAACTGAACCAGATGGTGCGAAAACCTTTGGTGGAACAGAAACATGGCAGCTCAGTTGAGCTCTCAGGAGAAACAGTCTTTAAATCTTCCGGAGGGAACACTTCTTAAAATCCATTAATTCGGAGCAGATTTCCTCGGAATGAACAGTCACTGAGTTGACAGACTCAGGGCTGACTAGAGAAACAGAGGGGGAAATCTACTTATTCACAGGATTAATATGCAAGTCCTCGAAATGGACAGTGCCCATGGTAATAATCCTTGGCTCAGAAGAAGCACAAGAAAAACGGGCTTCGTTGCTCCCCACACAATACACTGTCCCAGAGCAACCAGTCAATTTTTTAGTAGGTGACTAGAAAATACCTGTGTTACTCACCACAGCCGGTTGTTCAGAAGTCCCGGAAAGCGGCTGTGGTGAGGAGCGTCGCGGCGTGGATGCCACTCCCTCATTGAAGAGGGAGCAGGGATGATGGAGGAGGCCGGTGATGGTGGAGGGCTAGAGACCTACTCCTCATCCCCAACCACATCGCTGCTTTTAAACGTTTCTAGCAGTCGTTCACAAAGTTCTATTTTCTCCATCTGTCAGCTGGTGCTGGCTCTTCCTCCTCTTCCTCCTCTTCCCCACACACGCAAAGTCTCACAGATGATGTGCAGCAGTGGGTCCCTCAGTCTGTCCTCACTCTGGGCACTTGCAGTTCTCACACATGGAGATCAAATGTGTGATAACCTACAGGATTCAAACACAAGTTTAACTTATAAACACATGTTTATACTTTTATTTAACAATCAGAGAGAAAGAAAAAGAGAGAGAGTGCAGGACAGACAAAAAGGTGATGGTCTCAGATGGCCTCGGGTGAGCAATTTATGGTTTTCAGGGTTTTTATCGTTAACTCGGTCTCCCTGGGTCTTTTCCTGTGTTGTAGTTGTGTATCTTATTTTGAAAGAAGTATTTATGCATTACCATAGCGACCAGAGACCATTAAGGGGCAGAGGATGCTACTCTCAATGTTATTGGCGCATTTCAGGAGGACGCTGTGAATAAAGTTACACGATTACACTGTGAATTTGCGTTTATTATTATATTTACAAAATACCAGTTTTTGTCTTGGTCATATCATTTTATGTTGTTGTATTTATCCGCGACACCTTAAAGGCCGGTCTGTGAAAATATTGTCTGACATTAAACCACTCCGGACATCAAAAGGTCGGGGACCGCTGGTACACACTACTACACAAAACAGCGAAAGAGAAGGAGTATTTTCTGTTTGTGTTATCACGAGAACTAAATAAGAAAAGATCCCTGCTTGTACAGTGGTCACATGTTTGACTGCTATGAATAAAGCACATTTGTTTAGCTTAACAAGTGAACTGTTAAATCAAACGTCAAAGTCTGTTTGGCTTTAACCACTGAACAGAGGCAGCAAAATAGCAACATTAACAGTGCAGTGAATCCTGCTTGTGCCGTGATATTTGGGACTAAACATGGCAGCCTTCACAGACTATGAGCTTGTTCGGTTTGTGTATTTATTACTGAGTTAATTATCCACAAAATCATCACATTCGCTTAAGATTAAGGTCAACAATTGAACGGCGTCTACCGCCGCATAAATACGTGACATAAAAGTCAGTACTTTTAAAAGTTTACTGTTAAGCCAGCCCGCTTAAGCCATCTGCCATTAAAAAAAATTATCCACAGCCACCGCTGCGCTATGAATCCTGGGATAGGTTGGGCCACGAAGGATACACCCGACCCATCCTTCATATCCAGAGAAAAGGAGGACGCATTTGTGCGCCGCATTTCGAGCAGCCTTCGAATTGGGACAGCCTTTGTTGCCTGGCTGTGACATTATCGGCTTTCAAAGCGGCCTCCGAAGGATGGGGCCTATGAATTGGGACACAGCTAACGAGAGGATGGAGAACAAGTGGGAACAAAGCTGACATAAGACAAGGACACTCAAAGTAAAACAGGAAGCCAGAGACATTTGCAACGACACAAACTCAGAGACACAGACTTGACACTGAGACATGACTGACTGGATATGCAACATGGAACAAAAGGAAGACACTGTGACCAAAACTAGGAGCTAGAACTATAAAGATAATATAAACAGAAAACCACCAAGAAAAGCAAAGCCATGAATAACAAATAATCAAGGAATATAACTTAAACACAAAACACTGGGTCACAGAACCAGTACCGTGACACTGTGGGTATTAAAGGTACTGTGCTGCACTGGCTTGAATCATATCTAACAGACTCCAGTTTGTTCATGTAGATAGGGAGTCCTCTTTCAACACAAAGGTTAATTATGGAGTTCCACAGGGTGCAGCCCTAAAAGCCTTAGAAATATGGTGTCTATCTAGTCCTTCAATGCACACATTCAACAAATATGTAAGACTGCTCTCTTTCATTTTCGCAATATCTCCAAAATTAGAAGCATCCTGTTTCACAGTAATGTTGAAATATGTGTTCATGCATGTTGTGATAAAGTAAAGTCTGAGGGCTGTGACACCAAAACGCAAAGTGCAAAACAACTGCGGCTCAGTAGGAAGTGTTTCTGCAACCTCCTACCATCAGAGGCTAGAAACAAAAAATACGAACCTGCAGTATTTTCGATCTTCCACTGGTGTCCTGACACAAGACTTCACAGCAGTGTCAAACATTCTGTTGGCGACCTCAGTCTGGTTAACTATCTGTCCCATTATGATACAATGAGAAAAACAGAGTGAAATGTGGTTCAAAGCTGGATCACACGCAGAATTTTTTCTCAGGAACTTTGATGTTAACAACGCAGAAAAAGAAATGAGGAACTCACAGTGAGTTCCTTCTTTTAACATCTGACTTTATACTCAAGTCTGGTCTGCGTTTTTTCCTCACAAGTTTTCCACCATCTATCCTCCTCTGTCTCGCTCTCTCTTTCATTAGTGTCTCACTACATTTCCATCTCTATCCACAATCACTCTAACCTGCTGAAAATTCTTTCCACCTTTATGTCTCTGCGCAGCCAATCAATACAAGTCCTTTTGTCTTTCCTTAATGTCCAGCCTCACATACAACTCACTAGTCTTTTTCTTTGTCAC